TGTGTGTGTGTGTGTGTGTGTGTGTGTGTGTGTGTGTGTGTGTGTGTGTGTGTGTGTGTGTGTGTGTGTGTGTGTGTGTGTGTAGGTGTGTTGCGTGTATATATGTATATATATATATATATATAAATATATATATATATATATATATATAATAGGATATGTCTATTACTGCCTCTGTATATGTAGGTTGTGTGTATAAATGTGTGTCAATGTGTGTATGTGTGTATATACAATCTCACACGCCTGTATAGAGACAAAAAAAGACGTGTAAATTTCTGTTAGTGAATTAATATACGTGTTGTTGCGTTTGTATACATAAGAGTTTGCAAAATACTAATGAATATTCCTAGCTGTCCATCGGCGGCTAACACCTACGATTCCTGTCATGGGAATCAAACGCCAGTACATCTGTAGTCAAATGCAGGTGTGGACGGCTTGTCCCTAAAGTCAGACAGTCAAGTAGACATTCATAAACAAACAGGTACATACACCATACTACATAGTTTGTATCATCGCCAACCCTGAAACATTTAGCCAGGACACTATACCTCGTAGTTTGATCACCCTTTCCAACACGATGTGCTGCAACAACTTCGAGAGCTGGATGTGGCCAATCTTTGACCTCCTTCTTTGTTCTAGGTGTCGGCTTCACAAATGGTATCTCTTTCTCCACATCCGCATTGACTTTAGGCTCTTTCTTGTTTAGTACTTTCGCATCCTCCCTATTCTCGGTGTCTCGTTGAACTACTGGTTTATTAACTTCAGGTTTCCTATACACCTCTACATCGTCTGCTCCGAAGGCAACATCAGCTGCTACACCCCTGTGGTCGATACTACCAGAGCTCTTAGTACTATGAGAAAACCACGGTGTGTCGATAGACCCTGTAAATATCATATAACACACACATAGCGCAAGTGTGAGCACTACCACGCGCCCGCCTCGACACCATTTGCGGAATATTCGAGACGACGTTACGTCCGAGATCCACACACCACTTTTAGACTTGTCGTTATCTTTTACCATCGCATCCCACCTTCCTTGTATGTACTGACAATTGGTTTGAGTGTGGTTACTACAATTGTATATACACAACTGCGTACAGGCGTTGTTCTGACAGTCGCGTGGACAGATTTGTTTACTTTGTATGTGCCTTTTATTGTTATATGTAAGCAAATACCGCCCGGTAAATTCAACTCAGTTATCAGACCGGATCTGCTCCGCCGTTGCCATGCAGTTTTCTGCTTTCAGATCTTAATCGTCTCGAGTCTCGTGCATGTATGTATTTAATCCTCAAAGGTCAAAGCTTTGTTCCCAAAGTAAAGCATATAGCACAGCCTTCCGTAATGAAACCCATGGCCTTTATTCACACCTCGATGCTCATATCTAACTTGTGACTTTTGTTGTAGTGGGAAGAGTTGTACGGAGATGCCTGTAAGCTCAGAAATCAATAGTTGTCCATGGCAAACTGATTACGCTATGAGTCTACAAACTTAACTCAGCACTTGGGGAGACCGAATATGTCATACTCTTTTATTTTTGATCTGCCACTAGTTTCCTATATTATTGCCTTGCGTCTCGGTCTCGAACCTGTATTAATATTAAAGGCTTATCGCACTATTTACAAGCGCACATGCACGTATGAGTATACTTGCGTCGATGAAGATTCAGGCATAAAATGCACTCCCACGTGCACACTTCAGAGTGTTTCTTTGTAAGAAGAATTTATATATCGCACACGCCCACTGCAAAGTTGTCAGCTCTGAGCTTGTACTCAGTACGGTATCTTCGTTCGTTCAAAATAGTCTCTCGCATCTGTTGCTCTGTTATGACATCGAGATGTTAACGATAGCTTTCATATGTAGTTTTGTGCAGACGGTACTCTGTATATTCAAATATCATTTCTATTATAGTACGAGCTCGAACATCTTTAGTATACCTTAGAAGCTTGACCGCCCGCCTCGATTATCAGTCCAAGCCAAGAATCGATGATCGTAATGCGGGTTATAGATATGGGCCTTGCAGACACAGCAGCAGATGCCCCTGCAAGCGCAGCCACAGCCACAGTCTCAACCAGTCCTACAATCCCCACCTCTGACTGCTAGAAGTCGCTGAAATCACAACCCATAGCTCTAACAGCCGTTCTGTTCGGGTCATAGAAGATACTCTCCGCATAGAGAGTTGACTGTGTGGTGCAACCGCATATCAGCTTTGAAGGGTCTGTCTACACTATGGTGCGACGAGCTGGGCTACCATATTGCATAGTCTGTGCTACTACCAATTGCTCGATCTGCTGGACTCCACATCGAGTACATATGGTACAATATGAGTCATCCGATGGCTAATTAAGCAACTTATGCTTCCTTTTAAGTAGTATATTGATTCAGTCTCGGGATATATTCAGCCACTCAAATTAGGCCAATAACTACTCAAACAGTCAGACACTCACCACGCCTTCTGCAAGTGAATCTACAATCGGATTGCCATTTTCGAGCGTGCTATGACAGCCGATGCACAATTAGTCAACGCGTGCAAGAGTAGCTTTACCGAGCTGCTTTGAAAGACAACTCTATGTCCTCTGGAGCACGACAGACTAGTTACACTCCCCGTTATGATGATACTGCACAAAAACCATATCTTCCGTGGTACCTGCGATACTATGACTAGGAAAGACTAGTCGCACTTCCCGTTATAATGATACTGCACCTAAACCATAGTCCCCGTAGTACCTGCGATACTAAGACTAGGAAAGACTAGTTAAGCTCCCCGTTAGAATGATACTGCACCTAAAACATAGTCCCCGTGGTACCTGCGATATTAGGACTAGTAGGATTGCCGTGAAGGTGGGCATGTATCTTTGCTCAGTGCAGTAATAGCTGTGCACGTTGTGGGCGAGCGCACTTGCGGCCCAATAGCAATTGAGCTAAGCTCAACGTAGAACGTACACCGATAGTCTGACACCCGCAATCCGCGGGTGTACAATGCGGTGGTACCCAGGTGATGATAGGATTTGCCCTTAACGACCATACCCGGAATAGGCTTGTTTTTTGGGTCAAAATGAGCCCCAAACATGTATGCACCTGGGGACTTGTTGCTGGGATCAGGCTGGCATGCCTCTGGCGGTATTACACGAAGTATAGCGAACATACCACTGGCACCCGAGGTTAGGGCTACTGACCAGGCTGTTAACTGTGACAAAGTGAGTGTTCTTTTGTCCCTCTGGTACTTGCATTGTGAGGTTTTGTCCTGAAACACACTGGCATGCTTGAAGCTGACAGTTCAATTATAGCTGGCAACAGGGAAATAGCTAGTTAGCCTAAACTGGGGGATGCTCATAATGTGTGCGCTACTCTTCATAGATGTGTTTGACTTCCGGAGATGTCACGTGCTCTATGATAGCACGAATCGAATCTCCATAGCAGTTGCCCAGCACACACAGTTTCGAGATATAGAGCACTACAGCCAAGGTACCGAACCGCAACACTCACCGGTAAACGAGGTGTGTAACTGCGACAACTGTAGAATGACCCCGTTACCAAGAACAAGAACCGCATCGGTCGCGGACGATTGCCTAAACCCTAAACCCTAAAGCGCCAGTCGCTTCCCTTTCCGTATGTGAAAGGGTTCAAACCCTAAAAAAACTTTGAACACTAGACCCTAAAACCTCACCTCGTGTGTGAAAAGTGCGAGTGTGCCGTGTGACTGTCGGATGGGTTCATGGTGCAGAAGCATGCAGCAGTAGGTAAGTTGAATAACCCGCATAACTTGCCACCGAGCAATGGGTGTCACAGTCAGCAGTTGGCCAAACAGCCGCGCACCGTTGCGTTGAACTCGTTTCACGTTCCACGTACTGCAGTGTGGGTGTTCCGCCGGGCTTGTGAATGCGTTTACGTTACTTCAGTATACACCACTCTACGGGGCAGCAGGAAAGGAAGCTAAGCCGCCGCACGGGTCACTGAATAAACGAACTGTTTAACGGCTATGGTACAGTTCCTTCCCCTGAAACCGCCCGTGCCACCGGTGACAGCGTTGTGTTAGTCCGTTTCAATCTGCGCGTGTTGAAGTGCGAGTGCTTGATCACACAGGGGGTGAAGTATTGCGAGGCACCACTGACCCAGATATAGTTGTCGTTGCATGATACCACCTGTGACGTTTGTACGCAAGGACTATTAGGGTTTGGTTATAAAACTTTTGATAAGAGAATTAATATATTTTTTATCGGAACGGTGGTCTGCATATGGCGTTGTTGCGTGGCAGTGGCTGCGAGGCTGTGTAGATAACTGTTTCAGCTTTGCTATATATCTTACTAGTACGAAAGAAAGCGAGAGGTCCTCGACTGAAAAGTGTCCCAAGAATCAGCTGTCTGTGTATATATATACCATCTGAACTATATATGGCGGAGTAGGTACAATGTTGTTGTGTAACACTTGTATACCCAAGGAATACAGTACACCTTACGACTGCCTATATGTGGGTTTGGAGTATTGTTGTGTAGAAGATATGTAGATTACAAGTGCGTTTGTTTGGTAAAGAGGATTGATTATGGTTTATCCGCCAATTCAGTTGTGCAAGGAAACTTGTTACACCATGCAGTATCCGATACAGTCTCTGGTGCATAGCATATCCTTCTACATAAACTTGTGTGAAGCCAATCTATGGTGTTGTATATGCATTGTCCAGCTTTCGCTTGTTTTGCTTCCTGACAGAATACAGTTATTAGTCTGTTACAGACTGTGCTGTGTGAGACATATTGCGCTTGATCCGTTAACGTTAACATGTCAGGATCGGGCATAGTAAAGGCAGTACTCATAGACCGACATTGCATCATTTTGTTAAATCGACCATGGTTCTCCTGGTGTGTACCGAACTCTTGAGATTGTACCATATGTGTACTTGTACATTCGTGTGTAGATACCGACATACCTTTCTGCAATTGTATTCAGGTGGCAGCATATACGAGCGAACCTGCGTATTCGCCCACATCGCTCGATGGAAATGATACTGATCAACACCTGTCAGGACGAATTAACATGGGTCAGTACTGTTGAAATATGATACCTGTTCTTAGGCGGAATGGGTCGCATTATGTCGTATAAGGCAAGATATCTCTTTGGAAATGCTACAGATTGACGGCTATATGAAGAGAGACCAGAATTCACTATATGGAGTAATATGTTGGGATGAAAATCGTACTGGTCTGTGACTCTGTAAGTTGACGGGCGAGATCAGGTGTTGGCCGAAGGAGGCGATGGTATGTGATCTTCAATCCGATATATGGAAGGTCTGCATATAAAGTAATATATATATATATATATATATATATATATATATTACGTGTTAGTGTCTTTAGTCA